TTGGTTTGTTGGTTTGGGTTCCCATTTGTATCATATTCCTAACTTTCTCAGTAGCTTGTTCCATTAATTGTGACCCTAGTAGGTGTCTCTCTACAATATCAACCCAACTCAATTGAGTTTAGCTTTTCCTATCATACAATGTCTTAATGATGCCATTTTAATACTTGATTAATAGTTGTTATAAGTAAACTCTATCAGTAAAATATGATCCTCTCAGCTACCCCAAAATCTTGAACACATAATCTCAATAAATCTTCTAATGCCTGATTGATTATTTCAGATTGGTCACCTGTTTATGGGTGAAATACCATATTGAAATGCAAATTTTGTTCCTAAGCCTTTATGAATATGTCGCCACAACCTGAATGTAAATCTGCCATTTCTATCTATATAACCACTAGGAATTCTATGTATTATAATAATTTCATTCACAAATAATTAAGTTCATTTCTCAACGAAATCAATTTAATGAATAGGCAGGAAATATGCTAACTTTGTTAATCTATCAATTACAACCCAAATACAATCATGCTTTTGTTTTGACCTCGAAAAACCTGTGACAATATCCATTGCTATATCTTCCCACTTCTATGATAGTAATGGAAATGACTGTAACTTACCACTAGGTTTCTGAAGTTCTGCGTTGACTACTTGACTTCACATTTGGTAACATGATCTACTACATTTTTCTTCATTCCAGGCCACCGAAATATTGACTTTAAATCTTTGTACCGTTTTGTACTTGGATGAATAGAATATCCTGAATTTTGAGCTTCATTCATAATTTCTTGGATCAAGCTTAATTTTTTTGGTACCTACAAATGCAAATTACTTCAAATAACACCTTGCTCATCAATACTAAATGCGTACTTTATTCAATTGCGAAATCCTTACACTACTGTTTCAGTCGTTCTCGTGTTCATATGAGAAGTGGTTCGTTTGCATGGCATTTCAGAATCCATTGTATCAGACAGGGACAAGGGGTTCCTCAGCCAATTTTAGAAGGAATTATTCAACTATAAGGGACAATTCTAAAGTGGAGCACAACATATCTTCCTGAGACAGATGGCCAGGTGGAGGTGGTTAACAAGAGTGTAGAGACACGCCCACATTGTTTTGTATCAGAAACGTCGAAGTTGTGGGCAATGTGGATTGCTTGGGTGGAGTATTGATACAACACTTCATACCATACTGCAATATCACTATTTTCAAGATTTTGTATTGGCGGAATCACGTCCCCTAATACACTATAGGCATAACACGAAAACAATATCTAGTGTAAACAGATACTTGGAGGAGAGTGATAAGATTTGGTAGAGCTCAAGAAACATCTATTGAGGGCACGACAGACCATGAAAAGAAGGCTGATGGACATAGAAGGAGTTACAATTTGAGCACGGCGACATGATTTGTTTGAAGTTGAGACCGTATCGGCAGAAGGCAGTGCCCGCGAGGAGTGAGAAGCTTTCTCATGATATTTTGAACCTTATGAGATGTGTATTGGGACAATTGTATAATGTCTATTGTGTAAGATTGATCAAACTCAAACAGAAAAAAAACAAGGATCTTAGTATTGATGAGCAAGTTAGAGAACTGGAGAAATACACGCCCACATTGTTTTGTATCAGAAACGTCGAAGTTGTGGGCAATGTGGATTGCTTGGGTGGAGTATTGATACAACACTTCATACCATACTGCAATATCACTATTTTCAAGATTTTGTATTGGCGGAATCACGTCCCCTAATACACTATAGGCATAACACGAAAACAATATCTAGTGTAAACCGATACTTGGAGGAGAGTGATAAGATTTGGTAGTGCTCAAGAAACATCTATTGAGGGCACGACAGACCATGAAAAGAAGGTTGATGGACATAGGAGGAGTTAGAATTTGAGCATGGCGACATGATTTGTTTGAAGTTGAGACCATATCGGCAGAAGGCAGTGCCCGCAAGGAGTGAGAAGCTTTCTCATGATATTTTGAACCCTATGAGATGTGTATTGGGACAATTGTATAATGTCCGAGGTTGCTACTACCATCATCATTGCATCCAATTTTTAATGTATCGCAGCTGAGAAGTGCTATCGGAGAGCACACACCCTCATCTTCACTACCTCCGACACTGACAGAGGACATGCATGTGGTTTTGGAACCTTTGGTGGTGGAAGGACAAATGAAGTGATTAAGAAGCAGTTTCCATCATCTTACCTTTAGTACAAGGTGTTTCTTTGGGAGGGGAGTATTGACATACTTGTTGTGTCAGTCCAGGAGGGACCGATAAGGACCAAGGCTGCACGGTCAAAATAGTTGACCCAGCTGAAAGGCGTGGAACCCTCTAGTTACGACAGGAATGATTCCAACTCCCCGAGTGGGCCCGCTTAGCTGCTAATCACATATACATGGAGGGGAATTAAAGGGCTTTGGCAAGAAAGTTGGAATATTTCTTAGGAGAGCTTTTATTATGGCTAATTAGCTATGGTATGCTTTATGTTTGGTTTCCCTGTAGTTTTTCTTTTGTCATCTTGTTCCTAGCGACATTTAGGGTTTGTGGAGAGACGATCTACTTCTTGTAGATAAACCTTGTATCTTGTTTCTTCTGCTTAGAGATCAATCCAATTAGCCCTAATTGGGTTTTCTACTTATTATGTGCTATTCGTTTGTTGGCTTGGGTTCCCATTTGTATCATATTCCTAACTTTCTCAGTAGCTTGTTCCATTAATTGTGACCCTAGTAGGTGTCTCTCTACAATATCAACCCAACTCAATTGAGTTTAGCTTTTCCTATCATACAATGTCTTAATGATGCCATTTTAATACTTGATTAATAGTTGTTATAAGTAAACTCTATCAGTAAAATATGATCCTCTCAGCTACCCCAAAATCTTGAACACATAATCTCAATAAATCTTCTAATGCCTGATTGATTCATTCAGATTGGTCACCTGTTTATGGGTGAAATACCATATTGAAATGTAAATTTTGTTCCTAAGCCTTTATGAATATGTCACCACAACCTGAATGTAAATCTGCCATTTCTATCTATATAACCACTAGGAATTCTATGTATTATAATAATTTCATTCACAAATAATTAAGTTCATTTCTCAACGAAATCAATTTAATGAATAGGCAGGAAATATGCTAACTTTGTTAATCTATCAATTACAACCCAAATACAATCATGCTTTTGTTTTGACCTCGAAAAACCTGTGACAATATCCATTGCTATATCTTCCCACTTCTATGATAGTAATGGAAATGACTGTAACTTACCACTAGGTTTCTGAAGTTCTGCGTTGACTACTTGACTTCACATTTGGTAACATGATCTACTACATTTTTCTTCATTCCAGGCCACCGAAATATTGACTTTAAATCTTTGTACAGTTTTGTACTTGGATGAATAGAATATCCTGAATTTTGAGCTTCATTCATAATTTCTTGGATCAATCTTAATTTTTTTGGTACCTACAAATGCAAATTACTTCAAATAACACCTTGCTCATCAATACTAAGATCCTTGTTTTTTTCTGTTTGAGTTTGATCAATCAGCTTTTGATTTTTTTTTAATTTTCTCTTTGTTCAACTTTGGTTATATCTTCAAGGGTTGATTGAATATTCATCTGATACAAATTGCCTGTGTCCTGATTGCCATGCATTTTGACTTCTAACTGTAAACTATCTGTATCATTGTTCATCTTCATTTGCTCATCAAAACCTGAATGGCGGTTGTGAGCTTTGTATGCATCCCAAAAAATTACTTCACCTTTTTTTGTATGTTTGGCCTTCCTTATATTTTAAGAAAACTTGTGGGGGAGTATTAAATGGATCAACTGCTGATTCCTTCTGCCGACCACTCTTGTTTGGGAGGAACAATTTAGAGCAGTTGTGCTCCTAGAGTTGCTCTTTCCGCATTTTTTATTGCTTTTTAGCTTTTCTACTGCTTATTATTCTTAACTTCATATACATAAGGTGACGTGTCTTCTTCTGCAGTTTATCCACCTCTGCTTTTATGAGCAAAATCCTACCGAAAATAGGGCTGCCATATCATCCAAAGCCCAACGTATGAAACATAAAAACTCATTTGAGAAGTAAGAAAAGTACCAGGACATTCCACATCTTTGGACGTGAACACATATATTTCCTTTGAGATTCTGCTCTGGATTCATACTTATGTGAAAGTGGTAAAAACTATCCATATTATTGTTTGCTTCTTGGCAATGGTGAAGAAGTTATTATGCCTGACAAAAGAGGTATAGCGATTGCATTGTAGGCACGCTTGCTGTTTAAAAAAGGGAGTATTTTCATAGATGTCTTTTCAGTGAAACTGGTGAATCTGATTGGCCATTCCATGCCAAATAAAAACTAAATTCTTTTTATCTGTTTAAACTCTTATCATGTTTATCACTTTTAGGATTTATAGTCATCTAACTACAGTTTAATATAGCTATCTTTTCTTTTTCAGGACTGTTCCATCATGTTTTTGATCTTTCTAGCCTTAGGAATGGTTTCAAAATGCCTGGCCTTGATTTTTTTTTTATTCCCGTCCATGTTATAGCCCACATGGTTATGACAATTTGTATGATATGATCCTCAAGTAAAACTAGGACCTTGTTGTGAAGTAGTACCTTTAACATAATGCATTTAGAAGGTTTAGGGCACACTTGGTAATGCTTTACAGTTGCCTGATCGGAAAAACAATTGAAATTACAAGCTAGATTTGTGGGGGAATTTTGCTACATCAATGCAATATTACATGTGCATCTCATCATGGCTTCACCACCATGGAAACACACTTTTACAGCAGCCCTTTTTTTTCTGTAGGAATAAATACAACTTTATTTTGTGTCAATTAACACAGCATGACAGCAAAAGAGAAGTACTAAATGAAGACTGAGTTTGTAAAAGCACCTAGATAATCTTTTCTTTATCTGCTTTGGCTCTTACTTTCAAAATCCATGTATTGAAAGCTCACCATTTAAATGTTTTTTGTTAAAGATGCGAAGGAAGTTCGTGGTGTTGGTTTACAAATGTCAAGACTTGAGACTCTGGATGTGAATAAGCAAGGTGTGATTCATACTCATTGATCTTTATTCAACCTTTTTTTAACCGTCAATTCTAGCTATTTAATGGGGTATTCAATTTTCTAGTTGCTTGGATGTACGAATGCTAGGAAAGTGGTTCAAATTACCTTGAGCTATATTTTTATGGGCCATTTGTTACTAAAAAATTACACTTAGTACATTTATTAAGTAAAATTACACAAATGTATATCTAGAATAATAAATTCATTAAAATGGTGTCTTTCTTACGTTCTATTTTACTGAATAACCTTTTGTATAAATTACTGTCCCGTTTTGTGCTTTTGGTTTGAGATGAATATCATGCTATTATTCAAAACAAGGTGAAACTCTAAAAGAAACATATTTGCTCACGCTGGCAATTACAACTGGACATTGGATCAACAGTGCTTGATCAATTTAAGCTTGCCTCCTTAAAAATAAAAAATAAAAGAACAAGTTAAAAATTTACCAAAGTTAAAATCACTTCTAGAAAAGAATATAAAGTTGTAGTAGTAGACGCCTCTGAAAATGGATGGGGTGCAGAATTAAGAGTAAAACTATATGAAGAAGCTTATTTAAATACTGAACAATTATGCAGATACACCTCTGGTAGCTTTTGACAATTACCTTCAAGCATGACTTCTCTAGATTATGAAATATTAGAAGTTTATTAGAACATTTTAGAATCACCTATAAACTTTTAATAAGTACATGAATCACCTAAAATATATGTAGATTTTTCTAGAATTCTATAAACTTTTTCTTGATACATTTTTAAGGATTATGCTATAGATATTTGTAAATCTATGATACTATTCATTATTTTATTTTCAGAATGTAATTCATGTTTAAAATTTTTAGAAAATTTACATATAAATTTATGATGATATGAGGAAATAATATTTTTATTTTTATTTTATGTTTCTAAATTTAACCATTCAATGTTTTGTTTAGATTCCATTTTAAATTTAAAATTTTTATCAAAAAAACCCTAAACCCTAAAAAAACCCTAAACCCTGAACCCTAAACCAATGATTAGGTTTAGGTTTATTTATATAATGTTTCTAAATTTAACCATTCAATGTTTTGTTTAGATTCCATTTTAAATTTAAAATTTTTATCAGAGTAATAATCTAAATCTAATGCCTAAACCCACCACGCTTCCGCGAATTTAAAATTAATTCTGAATTAAATTCTAAGGTTAAATTTAAAATTAATTTTAAATGATTAGGCTCTGACACCTAAGCCTAACCAAAAAGATGTGTATGCGTTAGCATTAGGCTAATTTTCGAAATCTTAGAGTGTATGAGACAAGTCAAAATATCAAGAATCTTAGAACTCAGTCATGCGCTGAAGTTACTTATCATTTTTTCGTGTTAACCAAATAGTGAAATAGTTTCAGTTTTCCTGTGCCCATTTATCACTTTGTGGTCTTACATTCAACAAATATGCCCAATGGATGCCATCTCATAACTTAATCTTAGGCGTTTTAAGCCTGTTCCCTTCCAGTCATAGGAATCCTTTTGTTGAAACTCCCAAGTTGTGTGCGTGTGCATTATATTGATTATTATTGTATTGCTTTATCCTTGTATATCATCTCAAGTCATAAATTACATGTGCTTGCGTTGTTATAAATGCGTTATTTTTCTTACTTGTTCACCAGTTGAAAGATGGGAGGGAGCAGTGTTTTTATTGGCAGTGGTACTATTTCATGCATTTATTCTTTTGAATTCTTAGGTCATAAGCATAATGTAATTGAATCCTGGCTTATGATACCTGCAAAGGTGGGTGAAGTGACTTTTAGGCCAGAAAGCCGGAGGGTTGTGGCAGGTAATTGCTAATTTCTGGTTATGTATGAGATGTCTTTTGTCACAATTCACTTATTAATATATATATATATATATATGTATATATATATATATATATATATATATAGATTTAGAATGTAACTGCAGTTCAATATGTTCTTGGTTTTCATAGGATCTATATATGTAGAATGAGGATCATAGCACGTGCTCAGCTCACTCATTTTCAGTATGGTCTCTAGTTTTTTACAATAAAATATGTGACTTTGGCCCACTGCTGCCTCATACAAAGTTGCATCTCTTGTATGAAGAGGTTGCGTTAGAAAATGCCTGGACTTTGTTTGTGCGGGAAAAAAATTATCATGTTGAATATACCCTTCTTTGTCTGAAATTTCTCGTTTTTCGTATTTTTTCATATGCATTATTGTTGAATTGTGTTTCTTGTTCAGTGACGAATAATTTTTTTCCTGCTATTTACAGAATCATTGTGTTCTAGTGAAGAAAAACTTCCAGGCATGCAACGCCATGGGCCGCTCCATGAAAATTCACAATTGTATTTTGATAGGGCTGCTGCTGGGACAGAGACATTGTATATAAATTTAGTCGATTCCAGATCTTCTGAAAATGCTGTTTCAAAACTGCCACCTGTTAGTCATCTTGATATGAGTGTCATTAAGGATCTACCAGCTGAAATAATTTCAGAAATGAATGTTGCTTACAATGGGAAGTTATATGATCTTATGAAAAAGCATGACGAAGACCAGAAAAATAATGGGATCCTGTTAATCACACCTCCAAAGGTAAATAGCTTCAAGTAACTTAATTTCCATCCCGGTTGCTTTATATTGATGATAAATTAATCTGTTAAGATAAACGACTGGGTTTAAGTAATGCAAATATTTACTTGGTAAATAGGGCAAAGACTGATATCTGAGGTGAGATTAAAAACTTCTTTGGCCTAAATAAATAAACACATCAAATTTTTGCAATGGTGCTTGGAGAGGATTCTTTTAAAGTGTGAATGCTCGCATTAATAAAAGCAAAAGTTACAAAAAGTATGCACCTAAAAGCCTATCATGTACAAAAGTGTGTCCTATCGTCTGTGAGAATAGAAGAAAGTTCACTAGTTTCATTTACATGCTTCAAAAGAGAACTTTCCTCTAGTGCTAGCTTAGCACACATATGGGCGACTTTGTTATACTCTCTGTGTACGAGAAAACAGAACTTTTTTCAAGTTGATAAGAAATGCAAAGTCTGCGGCGGTTTGTGGTAGTTTTGCCAATTACTCTATGACATGATTGATCTCAAATGATGGATTATATTGATATTATCCCCTTCAATGATGAGACCTTTGCACTCAAACTTCCACGCCTCCACAATATTGTGGATTGAGAGAACAGCTTCAAGCACTACTCGTGCACTGTCCCAATGCTCCAATCTTTCCAAGGCAACTAGCCCGATCACATTGTCGTTCCGTATAATGACCCCGGTCTCTGCAACTCCGGGATAGAAACTACATACAATTATTAAATTGACAGGTTCTTATCTGAGGGACACCGTATTTATGTCCCTTGGGTGAAAGGTTTTTGAAAATGAAATAACTCCACTGTTAGGTCCGATCTCATTTTTTTTTCAATATGATGCCTGTCAAGTAATAGGTACAACAATGAACAGATTTACTTGAATTTGAGCATTGATTTTTGTACTATTAATTCATGCAAACCATTGTTTACAACCTACTAGATTGGATGCAACAAAGCTCTTTAAATTGCTGCTTGGTTTGAAGCATTTTGCGTATATAGTTGAAGAAATGCGAGGATTTTGAAGATTTTGGTGATGGTTTGCTGAAACAAAAATCTAAGTAATTTGTTCATGTATTTGGAATTCACATTTTTGTTCTTTTTTGGCATATACAAAAATCATCAAATTCATCACTTTCCCTCCTTGCGCCTGCCACGTGCCTTTCAACCTTGGCCACCACCTCCTGTTGCAATGCCACCTTCCCTCTTTTGGGATTTCTGAAGTGCAACATAACCGCCCCCTTCTTTTGATTTGCATCTTCATCACTTTCCCTCCTTGCGCCTGCCACGTGCCTGTCAACCTTGGCCACCACCTCTTGTTGCAATGCCACCTTCCCTCTTTTGGGATTTCTAAAGTGCAAAATAACCGCCCCCTTCTTTTGATTTGCATCCAATCAAACAATTTACATATTTCTAGAATACATTTATTTGTTTTAAAACTCATGAATTTTATATTCTTCTTCCAAATGACGCACAAACTAAAGAATGTTGGAACCTTTCTGAACCTTTCTACACAATTGATTATAGCTTTCCTGATGCGAACTTGAAATGTGCGTGATAGTTTTGATTGCTATGGATGCAAAAGTTTGTATAGAAAACTAATGATGGATTAGCGTTGCTTTGTTTCCTAATTGGTGATGGACCCTTGATGCTACTTTTCTTTTATGTTTTTTTTCCTTCTCTCCAATTTTCATTTGAATTGCTTGAGACTTACCTGAATTCAAACTTACTGGAGACATAAATGAATTAGATTTTTAAGAGGAAATTTGATGACGATGGACAATAAGAATGCTATGTAAATTTATGTGAAATTGTTCTTCACAAATTGATTGAGCTGGATCAGCTAAACAATATGACTTGATGCTAGTGTATTGATATGAACTGTTGGTTGATCTTTAAGAATTTTTTTTTAATTTTCAAAATAAAATGAGATTAACTAATAAAACCAGAATCAACTCTCCTAATCGCATCATCAGATGGTCGAAATTTAATGTGACCAAACCATCTAAGAGGTCTTTCTCTAATTTTGTCCGTCACAGGAGCTACACCAGCCTTATCACGGAGATCTTAATTTCACATTTTGTCTCTAAGTGTAAAGCCACTCATCCACCTAATCATTCTCATCTCAACAACATATGATTCTCTTTTAAAGGCCAACATTCAGCACCATAGAGCATTGCAGGTCTCACAACCATGTTATAAAATTTTCCTTTCAGTCTAAGTGGTACTTTTTTGTCACACAAAAGGCCCTAAGCATTCCTCCACTTCAACCAACAAACTTGAATTATACTATTAGCATCCCCATCAATATCACCGTCACTTTGAACAACGGACCCAAGATATCTAAGTCGTTCACACCTTTTAATAATTTGATCACCCAAAGTCACACTTCTGTCACTAGAGCTACTACTACTAAAATTACATTCCTTGTATTCAGTTTTAATTCTACTTAAATGAAGGCCTTTAGACTCTAATGAAGACCTCAATAATTCAAGTTTTTCCTCGGATTTTTCTCTCGTTTTATCCATAAAATTACATTCCTTGTATTCAGTTTTAATTCTACTGAAATGAAGGCCTTTAGACTCTAATGAAGACTTCAATAATTCAAGTTTTTCCTCAGATTTTTCTCTCGTTTTATCCACTCGTTTTATCCATGAGAAATATATCATCAGCAGAAAACATACACCAAGATACATCCTTCTGTAGATGTCTTGTATGATCCATAACTAAAGCAAAAAGATATGGGCTTAAAACCAATCCCTGTTGTACTCCAACAGAGATAGGAAAATATTTGGTCAATCTTCCTTCAATTTGAACACAGTAAGAGCTCTAGTATACATATCTTTAATGACTTGAATTTAAGTCATATCAACTCCTTTCTTCTCAAGAACTCTCCAAAAGATATCTCTTGGAACCTTTCGTAAGATTTTTCTAATTCAATAAAAATAAAATGTAGATTCTCCTTATTATCTCTAAACTTCTCCATCAAACCTCTAAATAAATGTATAGCTTCCATAGTAGACCTGCCCGACATAATTTCAAATTGATTATGAGAAATCTTTGTAATGCGTCTTAACCTATGTTCAATTACCCTTTCCTATAACTTTAAAGTATGACACATCAACTTAATTCCTCTATAATTTGGACACTCTTGTGGGGACCAAAATACTCTTCCTTAAATATGGGGACCAAAATACTCTTCCTTCACTCCTCATGCATCTTTTTTAGTTTTTAAAATAATATTAAAGAGTTTAGTAAACCAAGAAACTCCCAAATCTCCTAAATATGTCCACACTTCAATTAGGATATCATCAGATCCTACAAAATTTCCACCCTTGGTTTTCATTAAAGCCTCATCAACTTTTTTTTACTAATGCGACAGTAAAAATAAAATATTTATTATTATTCATGATATTAAGATCACTGAGGTTACTTGTATTTTCAGAAATTTCATTAAAAAATTTATTAAAATAACTCACCCACCTATGTTGAATATCTTTTTCTAAGAAAAGTACTTTTTAATTTTGATTTTTAATATACTTTACTTGATTTAAATCTTTTCTTTTCTCTTTGTTTGACTAATGTATATATATGTATATATATTTCACCCTCCTTAGTATTTAATCTATTATAAAGATCATTAAAAGCAGAATTTTTAACGTCACAGATTGTTTTTTTTTTTTGACTCCCTACGAGTCGTTTGATATTTTTTTCATTTCTGTAGTTTTCAGTTCTGTAGACTTTTACATTTAAACAAATTTTTATAACATAACTTCTTATATTTTATCTTTTCTTGCACATTATTATTCCACCACCAACTATTTTTATTTATACAAATTTTTTCTTCTATACAATTTTTTTCTTCTAATTCTCCAAGCATATCTTTTGCTACTTGTTTAATAGTGTTTGTTAATTTATCCCACATGATATTTGTTTCTTCATGAATTAACATTCTAAATTTTGAAATCTTGAATTTTACTCATAAATATAATTTTATTAGTCCTTTAGGTTTCCTCACCTAATTCTACGATGATGAGTCGTAATATTCTTCATTTTACAACTATTCATCTTAAAATCTATAACTAATAAACGATATTGGGTACCTAAATTCTTACTAGGATTGACCTTATAATCTTTATAATCTCGTCGATCTCTTCTTCTCATAAGAAAATTATCAATTTGTGTTTTATTAGATCCAATCTTACAAGTAATAGGATTCTCATCTCTTTTCTTGAATAAATTATTTGTAATAATAAAATCATACGCTAAAGCAAAATCTAAAATAGCTCTACATTCTTCATTAGTTACTCCAAAACTGTAGCCAACATGAGTATTTCTGATGTCTTCTACCACTCTACCGAGATGCCCATTTAAATCTTCTCCGTCTACCACTCTACCGAGATGCCCATTTAAATCTTCTTCGATAAAAATTTTTTCTTCAAATCATTTGTATTAAGTCTTCTAAGTCATTCCAAAATTTATTTTTAGACCCTATATCTAAACCTACTTGTGGAGCATAAGCGCTTATAATATTAATTATCTTAGTATCAATGATAATCTTAAGAGCTATAATTCTATCTCCAACTCTATTAATTTTTACAACATTATCTTTCAAACTCTTATATATAATTACACCTACACCATTTCTAGTGCGACTCTTACCAAAATACCAAAGTTTAAAACCTAAATTATCAATCTCCTTAGCATTTTCTCCAACCCATTTAGTTTTTGAATACATAAGATATTAATTTTCCTATGAATCATAATATCAACTAATTCCATTAATTTACTATTGAAAGTACCTATATTCCAAAAGAGAAATCTAAGGATAATGGAAGAAATTTCATCTAGGCTTAACATTACTATAATTGAATGTTGTGTGCATAATGTCATAATTAGGATACAATCATAATGTTTATGAAGGAAATGAGACTTTTTTGAGTTGTGATGGTGATAATGATTCTGAAGGTGGGTAGCTTAATGTCTTAAAAAATATTTCT